AAAATCATCATCATCATTTCAGCCATAGGACGTCCACTGCTGAACATAGGCCTTTGTAAAATAATTAGACTAAATTATTAAAAGTGCCTACCCAAAGTCATTAGTCCACGCGGACGAAGTCGCGGGCACAGCTAGTTCATACAATAAAATTGCAAAAAAAACGGAGTTAAGTATATCTATCTCTATAATTTCCCCGAAATGTAAGCTTAAATACGCCCCTGGTGAGCACGAGCCGTGTTCACTGGCTCATACATTTTATGATTTAATAAAAGAGTTTGGACTTACGAAATTAATTGGCACGCCATACATCCCGTGCTTCTGGCCTTTGTTATTTATCTAATGCATATTTATATGTTTTACGAAGGGCATTCTGTCATGTGAGTATGTTTAATTAATCCACGCTAAAAGGTCCTCGCTTTTTCCATAAATGAACATATCTGGCGAGAAACGGTTAGTTGATTTTGTTAAGTGATTTACAAAATTTACATATTGTGAAATTTCAAAATCGGTAAAATATTTACATTTCATTTCATGTAAGTATACTCGTAGTTAGAAAATCAGTTAAGAATTTTCCGGACTAATAAGAAAGATAGAGGTAATTTGTTGTAAATATGAATGAAAAACTATGTTATCGTAAGTTTTTAAAACCTGGAAAAATGCTTATTAGCTTAGCACTCTAAGTAGGTACTTTATTTTATTTTAGTCATCTTTTATTATTTTCTCGTCAATAGCTCGGTAGGTACATTGTCATAACTTACGACAAAAATTCCTAACTGAACAATTTTACCCCAACGTCTTTGTAACACAGCAAAATTGTTTAAAGGAGGAAAAAAGGACGTATCCCGCAAAGTTCCGGTTTTCGAGACAGTTTCATAAGCTTTTTGCTGTGACAGCTTAGACATGTATTTTCTCTTATAAAGCTTTGTTTGTTTTCATCGTCATACATAGACGGCGGTTGGAAATGGACGTGCCAGAAATTATTTAATTTTGAGACGTTGTGTGAAATAATGAAATAATATTTCAGGCAAATACTTTGTAGCTAGACTTTGCTAATAATTATGGTTAATATTTAGTTTCGTACTCACATACGAGTAGGCTAAGTTGCACCATCTAACTTTAACCGTTACTAATATAACGATAACCGGTGTTAGACAGATTTTTGACGTTCGTTAAAGATAAAATAAGATGGTGCAACCTACGTAGTCATAATGTTTTACTTACGAAGTAAACGGTCTTAATCATACTACAAAACAAATAATAATTTTATGTAGTAAGTACTACGTCTCACTTTACTAAGCTAAATACTCTTTATTATTTTGCATGTAGAGTGTAATTACATATTAACTAAATGAACTACTAAGTACTTAGTAATTTACTTTGAAATTAATAATTAATAAAAAACGTATTTCATTACACCTCATTAGTTTAGGTGTATCAGAGAACACTACTTTTAACTTAATTTGTTGAAAATAAGTAGGTACTTCATCATCATCATCATCATTTCAGCCATAGGAAGTCCACTGCTGAACATAGGCCTCTCCCAATGCTTTCCATGTTGATCGAATGGTAGCGGCCTGCGTCCAGCGCTTCCCTGCTACCTTTACGATGTCGTCGGTCCACCTTGTAGGTGGACGTCTCACGCTGCGTTTTCTGGTACGCGGCCTCCATTCCAGAACCTTTCTGTCCCATCGGCCGTCAGTTCTGCGTACTATGTGCCCTGCCCATTGCCACTTCAGCTTGTTAATCCGTCGGGCTATGTCAGCGACTTTGGTTCGTTTACGGATCTCCTCATTTCTGATTCGAGTAGGTACTTACAAACAATTAATTCTCAGCGTTCAAATTCTCAAATCCCTAACCGAAAACTAGAAGTGGCTCTGATTTTAATGAACAAGTTTCTTGTCTGACTGAAAATTGCACATCTGTTATACGTGTTCTGTATTGAGAGCGACTTCAGATAGGCTTCAATTCATAAGCGACAGCGGTTAACAAACGCTCCTCTTGAAACTCAGTATAAATAATATCCTTGGGCAATTACACTGCGCCATCTAGTCCCAAATTAAGCAAAACTTGTGTACTATGAGTATCAGACAACGGAAATATGCATTTTTTGTAAATTACATATTGAGTACATCGAAAGCATTTATGCTCATACAGATACGAGTATGTTAATGCACAAAACAGTTTGTATTGTATGGGGATCGAACCCCCCACCTCTGGCATAGTAATCCGGTTCGCAAACCACTGGACCAAACGGCAGACGAATTATGTAGATAGACTGTCATTACAAACCTACTGATTTGTTAATATCGTCGATGAAAAATGGAAAACCCACATAAAGTGGCAAAGAGGCAATATTAATTAATATTACTACACTATCATTTATACCGATTATTGCTTAGCAAAAGGCGTTAAGAAAAGCACGGAATAAATGTAAAATACATTTAGCATTAAATCCTAATAAAACTTCAACCCCGTGATTATAAAAACACCTTATCTTTATTGTTTTCCGCTATTGCTCGCGAACATGTGATTATTGTGCATTTTTATGTAAAACGGAAGACGAAGCGCTTTAAAATGCTAATTGATTGGATTAGTTATTAAATCAGATTATAATGTAAGCTATAAAACCATAAACCGTTATCAATATCTTCCTGGCCCTTTTTATTACCTTAAATTCCATTGTTACGAATAATTTCCCTATTACTAAAATTTGTAAATTGTTATTGGAAGGTTGCAGATAATACTTACTGGGAATATTTTTTTACAAAACAGGATGGTAAAATTTACTTTATGTTTGTCACTGAAAGGTACAAATTCGTACAAAATGAAACTCACTAGCTTTTGACATAGAAACCATCTAATGAATTTTCAAAAACAGCTCAAGTTTTTTTCCTCTTACCAATGAGAGGAAACAAAATGTTACATGAAATATGAAATCTATTTTAGTGAGCTTGTTATTTTTTCATCACTCAATCGTGAGTGGATCTCATTGGTAAAAGGAAACAAACTTGAGTTGTTTTTGAAAATTCATTAGATTGTTTCTATGTCAAAAGCTAGTAGCATAATTATTACTTAAAATGCGTTTTATTTTGTACCTACGTCCTTTCAGGGTCAAACATAGAGTTAATTTTACCATCCTGTTTTGTAAAAAAAATATTCCCAGTAAGTATCTGCAACAGCAGAATACTTATCCTAATCTTACTGTAATGATTCACATACTTAGCATTAAATAAACATTATACTTAGGTATAAGTAAGCCTGAATGGGACGACTTATCTTCTCACTCACTTTTGTCATTTTCTGCATCCTTACTGTTGCAATATAAAATACTTGATACAAGGTATCCATATCTATGTTTCTTTCTAACTCATCATCAAACATCATTACCATTTTAGTAACATGACGTCCTCAGCTGAACATAGGCCTCTCCAAGCTGTCTTTGTAGCTGTTATTTATTTATCTTATTACGTATACAAACAGGACAATATACATTGCAAAATAATAGGTCAAACCAATCAACCCGCTGCCGCTTAAGCGTGTGCCACAAACACTACTTGTACGGAACCCGCGTCTCGCCGTTGCGGCGCCGATCCGGAACCGGCTGAAGGGTTGCGCCGTCACAAATCAAGTTATGAGAAACGCCACAAAAGGAAACTTTGTGCATTTCCGAACCGGCGAGCGTGAAATCCGACGTGACAGACCCCACCCGAATCTAAACCCTAAACTTCAAACCATTAGACTCGAAATAGAACAATAAAACACCCCAACCTAAGACCTCAGCCGATACAACTTGAGTGATTATTCCTCTCGGTATATTGAAAATGTTTACGCTGTAAAACGATGCACGATTTAATTATGGAATATCAAAACAAGTGATGTCAAGCATGAAATCTTATATTTCTAAAAATATGCTATTTATAAAAGCTTTCTTTCAAAGGAACGCAAGATCTAAAGACATTTTTGTCAAATTGAAAGATAGAAGAATCTCTAAATTAGTAAACTGAAAAAAATGTTATCACTGATAATTCAACATAATGTGTTTGTCCAAGTCTTATGAAAGATCCGTGGCTCTAGAAACGTTGCAATCGTTACATTTGGTCATAAATTCTATTGTTCTGAAAGTTTAATGAAATTGGCTTGTCTACCTACAGACTATTAATTTGATGCCAATGAATATCAGAAATAAAGGCAGGCACCTTATTAAGGCACCTTCAAATTCTATTATTCAATAACATAGGTGTAGTAGAGTAGGTACCTACGACAAATTGTTCCTGACATATTAATATGTGTGAAGGAATATACAGAATGTCCCAAAAAGTAGTGTCAAGCCGAAGTCCTAAGGTAGAGCATCACTAGGGCTATCCAAATCATCCCCATGTATGTTCCGCGATTTTTGATAGTTTTCGAGTTATGAATGTTTTTTTCTGTGCTATGGCACTTTTTTGGTCACTGTGGTGTGGCACGAATAGTCAACTTACATGCCAGATTTTTTTATTATTTTTAGATGAGTACTAGGCCTATCTGATTCAGAAGTATTTAAATCCATAACACGAATGTAAACTAAAATCCTGTATGTAATAAAAAAAAAATAACTAGAAAACTATCAAAAGTCACTGTGATTTGGGTAGTAGTGATGCTCTACCTCTGGGCTTCGGCTTGACACTACTTTTTGGGACACCCTGTATAAATACCTCACAGTACACTGTTACAACCATATTGTTAGGTATCTCTTGGTGCGAGTCAAATCTCGTTATTTCTCCCTGTTTTGTTTATATCACGATAAAGCCTTTGTTAGGTTATGTGCACACAAGTGAAGCAAGTTCCTTTGAAGGCTCTATCTAACAATATCTATTTCACATCCGTTCCTTTACAAGAGCTGAAGGAACTAGTGCGAGAAATATTCCGAATACCTTCAAAGAAGTATCGAATAATACTTTGGAAGCCACGATGTGTGTAATATAAAATGTTTATACTGAATTGTATATTTTCTTTTTTTTCAGTTCCGTCTGCGCCACGGTACTTCTACCAAGGATTCTTTTTAAGATAACCACTTAGCGAATTGTACCCTAACTTGTACAAATAATTTAATTCCCTCATGTACCTTATTGTATAAATATCGTTACAAAAATAAAGCTATTGTATTTTAGATGTTGCTGTGCAATAATTAAAATAAAGAAATAATTTATAACTGTTACAAATCTGTGATAACGTAGGTACAGCTGAAAATATCGTTTTTGTGTAATTCTTACCTGGATATTACCATGAAATGATATTGCAAATTGGTGACAATAGTAGTGGCTGTACGGTGATAGTAAATAAACTGGTCTGTATGTATGTAAATAATGTGATTGATGCCATTGCGAAACTGTTGTTTTATTTTACCTTAAAATCCCTTTCGACTGTTATTAAATAGGTAAGTATTCAAGTTCAGTTGAGTTCACTATTTAGGATATAAATATTGTGACAGAATAAATTTATTTCATTTTGAATATCACTTAGGTATTTAATTATGATTCTCAGTAAAAATATAGTAGGTATCTAACAGTTAATAAAGCGTCAAAAACATTATTTTATTATCGAAAGGATACCTAGATAGGTGCTTTTGATAATTTTGTAAGTTAAATACATATTATATCAATTTCCAAAAAGAACAACATACTCGTAATTATTGTTTTCTTTTAGTCATATCTTATCCACATTTTGCACTAGTAAATAAACCAGTCTTTTGGATCCCGAAACATAATTTCCATTTCAATAGAAATAAAATATACAAGAGCCAAAGAGTTTCTAAACGAATGAAGCCGTGATCTCTTTCAATATGCACTCATATTTTGTAAAAGTTATTTCCCCACGTGTCGTGTCGTGCCCTCTGAAGATTATTGGGAATATAGTGAGGTAAATGAGATTTGGTCGCAGATGTAGTAGCTACTTTCATCGTGTTACATGCGTCATTTCGTCGCCTGAGCGAAATACGGGGCTAGGGGAGTTAGGTGAAGTATGGACATGGAAGTAAACGTAACAATATATTTGAGAAATTTCTCAAGTTACTTAAATAAGAAGAGTATTTCTTAGCTAGAAAAACGCTAATGTTTCGAATGGGTTGTAATTATAATTATTAAGTTATAATACTTTACGAGCTTATAAGTTGTTAAAACAAACATAATATTCAAACGAGTAGCACCCTTTCCAGAGTAAGTTCACCTCAAATAATATAGCTTGTGTTGAAAAGTGACTGAAGAAAATAAGCTAAATTTAGCAATAACAATAATATATCCTTGTAATAATATCATTGGACAGGTTCCTTGAGCAGGTAAGGTATATAACTTTAATAAATTGTATAATAATGTTTCCCTGCTGTAAATTGATTTGATAGTTAATTAATAAAGGGTTATAAAAGTGTATAGTTCCAAAATACTGGACTGTCCTGTCGATGACATTGACAGTAGGGCGCCACCGTCAATACCGGATCGCTGGTTCAGATTTTTGCCATGTTGGAAACCATATAGTTGAACGATGGTAGCGCCCCCCTGTCATTGAGTTTGGCGGGACAGTTCAGCGTGGGTCATCTATACCTATATTATTTTCTTCCACACATTCTCTATTCTTGAACTCTGATTTGATAGTTATAATATTTCTTCCCCAATGCTTGTCCATACTATCTCACCTATAGGTTATGTATTTTAAATTAGATTTCTTTGGGCTCCTGCTTTATATTCCGAGGCACCTATTTGGGAACAATCTGTCACGGTGGCCGTCATATTAGTGCGGCCTCAAAGGCCCGCACGCATAATGCACAACCCATCTTGTGTTGAGCTGCTTTTGATTTTAAATTAGAGACACAGAGGGATCCAAAATGTGGACTTGACAAGTAATAACGGTCATATAATATAGAGAAACCAAGTTGTCCAACCCGCCTGCCAAGCGTGGGGATTATGGCAAAACCCTCGACTATACTGGAGGAGGCTCATAGTCCAGCAGTGAACTGTAAAGGGCTGTTGATGATGATGATGATGAAGTTATCTGGGCTACGACTTATCTAATACAAGTTCCCAAACTCGGGACCCACCTATAGGATAATTAACCGTTACCAATATACCTAAATAAAGGACTTTTCAAATTACAATCCGTCCGGGCGAATGACTGTCGCCCGATGCCCAACAGTTGGATCGGTAGTGTAGTGTGTCATTCTACAGGCAGGGCCCACACAATGTTCGCTCGCGATAGTTTGGGAAACCCTGATAATAGCCTATTACTCTTACTATAAATGAATCAATCCACTGATGAAATATTAAGAGCAAAGTAGTTGCTTCGCAAGTATTTGCGTGGGTAAGTGGTGGACAGTGTTGTTAACACAACAGTACGGCTGGGTAAGATGGTGCAATCTTACTTTAGCTTTGACAAACGTCAAAAATCTGTCAAACTCCATACAAAAAACACCGGTTGTCGTTAAAGTTACGGTCAAAGTTAGGTGGTGCAACTCAGCCTATGACTCAACGAAACACAGGTAACATATTTTTTGTTTTTATATTTTTCAGGGACTCTGGATTAATCTTACATAATCTTTACTTCTTACTATTTTTTTTTTACTTTTCATAATTAATAGCTGACCCGGCGAACTTTGTTCCGCCTTAATGTCAATAAATAAGCAGACTTTTTTTATTTCGAACGGGATAAAAAGTATCCTATGTCCTTCTCCTGGCTCTAAACTACCTCCCTGACAATTTTCAGCTAAATCGGTTCAGCCGTTCTTGAGTTATAAGCGAAGTAACTAACACGACTTTCTTTTATATATATAGATAATGTAAAGCCGAGTAGAGAGAGTTGCACCACCCTATTTTAACCGTAACAATAACAGTAACCGGTGCTTTTAGTATGGAGTTTGACAGTTTTTTAACTTAAATAAAAATAGGTCAAAAAAACTCAAATTAATTTGCTTGCTTATATTTCATGACGAAAATTTCAATTTAATATTATAACAATTCACTCGAAAAAACAATTTAGAAGATTATTATTGGCGTATGCTCAGTAACCATTTTCATTATCTAAGTCGTTGGGTATGTCTTGTAGTTCGATGCCGGGGTCGATTTGTAGTAGCCATAGTTGTAGAAGATTTGTTCCTGCAAAGAAAAAAATTGTGTTAGGTTTCGACCTGTCGTTAGGACATGTCCGCAGACTGCATCCAAGTTCACAAAAGTGATCGCCATCGCCAACGCGTACGCAGGGTGCACGCGTTGGCCTAAGCTTTAGTGCAGCTATAAAAAGTATTTTTTTTAATATATCAGAAAGTAGAATTCATATTTAGTTTGTAAGTAAGCTTATAAAAAGCTCTTTGACACGTCCCAGCCGCAGTAAGTACTATTTTAACTCTACCACTGTTTCGGGACAATTGATTTTAAGATAAGTATAGGCATATCGGTCAAACAAAACAAAGGTGTATTAATAAAGAGATGTTACGTTACAAGATTTACAAGATAACACAAACAGTTAAAAAGTTAATGTAATAAGAACTTTCATCGTATTCGTGATAGTTATTAATAAAATTACACTCACTTGGATTTTCGTTGAAATGGACGATTTTATCCTGAAAACATCGAGGAAGCTGTTAAAAATGATGCTACAGTTAAATAATTGTTGCTAAGCAAATTCTACAGAAGCACATAATTATTAACTTTAGTTCTTATTTAAGCACATAATTACTAATTTCTATCTGAACTATTTTTGTACACATAATAGCACATTAAGTGCTGGGACCTTCAGTATATAGTACCTTTTAAGTGCTATTTTGGTACATAAATGTATAGTTTAATGTGCTTTCTTAGTAGGTACAGGACAAAAAAAATAATTTAAGCTTTCAGAGGAAACACTTAGAATAAGAGTAAACCACTAAGTGAGCCTGCGTGCATGTTGTAATTTTTTATCCTAGTTTGGAACTAGGAAAGAACAAACTAAGGCTGGGTTGCACCATCTTACTTTGACTTAAACAAACGTCAAAAATTTGTCAAAATCCAAACAAAATAAATCAGTTATCGTTATAGTTACGGTCAAAGTCAGGTGGTGGAACTCGGCCTAAGAATACTGTGAATAAAATAATAACAAAATAAACACCAAAAAATATAAAACCTAGCCTAAAATGTAGCAGGCTTAATCACTTTTTCTCTGCGGATAATGCAACCTGTATATCGGAAATTATCTAACAATGTAACTGATTCATGGGATCATGGGTATGCAATTTTCCTTCTCTAAATTTGATTATTCGGGTTTTTAAAGCAAATTTGCATAGCCATGGGCTTTGGTCCTTGCCTGTTTTGTGATCCTTGTCGCCTTATGCCCAACCATCCTTTTTCTCATGTTTTTTATGCCATCTATGATGTTTTCTGTGATGATGATTATGATGATGTTCTCCGTCATCACATCCTTCTTCCCCATCTTTGCCATCTTTACCCTTTTTGCCATGTATACCCTTTTTGCCATGTTTACCATGTTTACCATGTTTGCCACCATCGCCTCCATCGCCTTCATCTCCTCCTTCACCTCCTTCACCATTGTCATTCCCATCATCACCGTTTCCTTCATCACCTCCGCCCTCTCCACCGTCTCCTCCTTCGTCACCGTTGCCTCCGCCGCTTCCTCCGCCTCCATTGTCTCCATTTCCACCCTCTCCACCATTTCCTCCTTGATCACCGTTGCCTCCACTGCCTCCCTCACCTCCATTTCCTCCTTGGTTACCATTGCCTCCACCGCCTCCATTTCCTCCATCTCCACCCTCTCCGCCGCCTCCTCCTTGGTTACCATTGCCTCCACCGCCTCCATTTCCTCCATCTCCACCCTCTCCGCCGCCTCCTCCTTGGTTACCATTGCCTCCACCGCCTCCATTTCCTCCATCTCCACCCTCTCCGCCGCCTCCTCCTTGGTTACCATTGCCTCCACCGCCTCCATTTCCTCCATCTCCACCCTCTCCGCCGCCTCCTCCTTGGTTACCATTGCCTCCACCGCCTCCATTTCCTCCATCTCCACCCTCTCCGCCGCCTCCTCCTTGGTTACCATTGCCTCCACCGCCTCCATTTCCTCCATCTCCACCCTCTCCGCCGCCTCCTCCTTGGTTACCATTGCCTCCACCGCCTCCATTTCCTCCATCTCCACCCTCTCCGCCGCCTCCTCCTTGGTTACCATTGCCTCCACCGCCTCCATTTCCTCCATCTCCACCCTCTCCGCCGCCTCCTCCTTGGTTACCATTGCCTCCACCGCCTCCATTTCCTCCATCTCCACCCTCTCCGCCGCCTCCTCCTTGGTTACCATTGCCTCCACCGCCTCCATTTCCTCCATCTCCACCCTCTCCGCCGCCTCCTCCTTGGTTACCATTGCCTC